CCGGAAAGCCTTCCAAGTGTTCATGCAGACCCCCCCACCCACCCACCCACCCCCCGCGCGAGGGGGTCGCGTTGCGACACGCCCCCATGCGCGGCGTCGTTCGACGTTCGTCGGTCGTCGTCCGTATTTCGTGGTCGTTCGCCGTTCGTCGACCGTCGTCGTCCTGGTCGCCGTTCGGTGTTCGTCGTTCGGCGTTCGGCGTTCGTCGCTCGTCGTCCGTAATTCGTCGTCGTTCGCTGCGGGTCGACAGTCGTCGTCCTAGTCACCATTCGTTGTTAGTCGTTCGTCGTTCGTCGCTCCTCGTCGTCGTCGTTCGTCGGTCTTCGCTCGTCGTGTGTAATCCGTCTATATATATACACACATATGTACATATATATATTTCGGTGTATACATATGTATGTGTATATATATATACATATCGGAGGTTGGGGGGTGAGATCGAAGTGGAACGGAGAGCCCCCCTACCGGGAAATCGATTTCGGTTTCGTGTTCGTGCGTGCCGTGCGGGCGAGGCGAAGCTGCGTGGGCGGGCGAGAGAAAGTCTCCTGTGGCTGAGGCGCGGCCGGACCAAATGTCTCCCTTCCGGGCGGCCGGGGGCCCGCGGTGTCCCGCCGGTGTCCCGCTGGTGTCCCGTGTGGCTGAGGCGCGGCCGGACCAAATGTCTCCCTTCCGGGCGGCCGGTGGCCCGCGGTGTCCCGCCGGTGTTCCGCCGGTGTCCCGTCCGTGTCCCGTCGGTGTCCCGATGATGATGTTGATGATGATTATGATGATGATTCTGATGATGATGTGATGATGATGATGATGATGATAATGATGATGATGATGATGATGATGATGATGATGATGATGATGATGATGATGATGATGATGATGATGATGATGATGATGATGATGATGATGATGATGATGATGATGATGATGTTGATGTTGATGTTGATGTTGATGAGGATGATGATGATGACGTCGATTGCGAGATCGATTGTGATATCGGTAGCGAGACCGAATGTGAGATCCATTGTGCGATGCTGATGGTGATGATGGCCTTCATGGTGTTGATGTTTGTGATTATGATGACGACATTGATGATGATGATGATGATGATGATGATGATGATGATGATGATGGTGGTGATGCTGATGATCATGATGAATACGATGATGATGATGCTGATGATGATGATGTTGATGGTGATGTCAATGATGATAATGACGACGTGGACTCGCGGCTGTTGGGTGACGTAAACAACTCGACACCAACGCTCCCAAGAGCGAGCGGCAACGCAACTATCTCCGCTGGCATTGTCACAACAACATTCACCACTGTTGCCCATTGCTGGGCCCCTCCCCCCCCCCCAACCTCCTTATCACCCGCAGTGTGGTCGTATAGGTATATGTATGTCCTGGGCCACTTGGGGCGCCCCAGGGGCCGTCTGGGAGCCAGGTCGGACCGGCATCCTCATTCCCGTCGTCACTCCCATCCTCACTGTCATCGTCATTATCAGCAACCGTCTGCTGTCTTCCTCTCCTCCTCCTCCTCCTCCTCCTCCTCCTCCTCGTCCTCCTCCTTCTCCTCCTCCTCCTCTTCCTCATCGTCCTCTTCTTCCTCCTCCTCCGCTTCGGTCTGCTAGTCAGACTGGCGGTGACAATCGTGTTCACGGAAGGCTCTCTGGGAACATGATGGTTTCGGGGTCCGTGTGGTGGAGGGTCCTAGGGTAAATCACATGAGGCTGCTCAGCCCGAAGAGCGACCCAGCGGAATCATTGGAAAATCGTCCAGAAAAGGGGATGGAAGAGGCGGAGCTTGGAAGTGAGACGGAGGAGCTATGAGGTAACAGGACAGAAACTGTAGGAGCTGCGAAGGCCACGAGAAAGAGGGTAAGAAGGAGCGTAGAAGGTCTACGAAAGAGACCGGAATGGCCATCGGCTCTATCCCGCCACCATGCCTGGGTGGTGGGTCACAAGCATCTGAGAAGCCTGGTGTGATGTCACGGGAGGCCTCCCGGGGGCCTCTTGGGAACCGCTTTTGGGGCCTTTTGGGAGCCGTTTTGGGACCTCCTGAGGCGTCGTGGGTGCCTCCTGGGGGCCTTTGGGGGCCTCGTGGGGGCATCTCGAGGCCTTCTTGGGGCCTCTTGGGGGCCTCGCTAGGGCGGGAGACTCGAGTTTTCGGTTCGTGCTCGCCCTCTTGAGCCCATATTGGGGTTGTCTTTGAATCCTCTTGGGCCATTTTGCGGAGCCGTGAGACCGTCTGGGAACCCTCTTGGGCCGTCTCGGAGCTCTCCCAGACGCCTCTTGGCCCCTCTTGGGGCAGTCTTGGGGGCCCCTTGGGTCGTCTTGGATTCTCGGAAACTCGAAAAGTGGAGGACCGAAAAACATTGAAACTCTCAAAGGGAATCAACAACTGTTGCTTCTCGCGGCGCTCGTCTGAAGTTTCGGGCACCCACGGAAGCCCGCCCGGGCCTGGCGCAGCCTGGAAGCCTTCGGAGGCCGTTGAAAAGCCATCTTCGCCGCTTTCAGGTGTGATGGACCAGTCCGGTAGACTTTCGTACGAATTTGGTGGCCATCTGTGCGCCCACGGGGCCACTTTGGGACCACTGAGGCGCTCGTGGGGTCCTCGCAGCGGCCGTGCGTAAACGTGGCCGTGGTCCCAGGCTCTCCGGCGCCCTACTCCGATACACAAACACACACACACACACACATGTACACACAAGCGCACCAGTTTTATGTATATATATATATATATGTATGCATACGTACATACACACAGACATACATACATACATGCATACATACATTTATATGTATACATCGATATACATATCTATATATGGAAACATATATGTGCATATATATACACACACATGCATGCATACATACTTATACATATGCCAATGCAATTACACATACATATACATGGACATAGACATGAACAAATACACATACACATACATGTACATCACAATGTACATATACACATACATACACCTAAACATGTATATCAACATCTACACATATGAATCTGGACATACACATACACATATGGGTGCACGCAAACATATACATATGCTCATACATGTACATATACATCTACAAAGACATAAACATGTACATATATGTATACCTGTACATGTACGTATGCATACATATACACATGTACATATGCACGCGCATATACATATACCCATACGCCGATACACATACAATCACCATACACGTTCTTATACATATACGAATACATATGCAAATACGTATGCATATACATAAACATGAACATAAACATATACATGTACATATGTGTGTACGTAAACATATGCACAAACATATGTATATGTATACACACTTGCACACACATACATGCATACACACATGCATGCATGCACACATGTATGCAGCACCGGATACATACATACACACATACATACATACAAACAGGCAGACAGGCAAACAGACAAACAGACAGACATACCTACCGACCTGTTTACATACATACATACATGCATGCACGTATAGGTACATATATGCATGCACACCCACACACATAAATGCGTACATACGTACAAACATACAGAAATACAGGTATACATCCGTGTACACTTGCATACATGCAGACATGCACACATACTTCCACATACATACATATAGACATACAGACACACGCGCAGACAAACGGACATAAAGACAGACAGACAAACAGACACGCAGACAGAGTGGCAGACTTACATACACACATACATACGTGCATGCATGCATACATACACACATACATATATGCAAGCACTAATTCATGCATATACACATGAACAAGCTGTATAAATCCGCCGGCCCCCTTGTGGGGCCACCAGGCTGTAGGCGCGGGTTCGCAGTTTCCTGTACCAGTTGTAGCTTGTAGTTTCCAGTGTTACAGTTCTGCTTCTTGCTGGTTGCTGAAACTAGTTGACTTCTTGCTGGTTACTGTAACTAGTTGATTGACCGCGCGAGGGGGGGGGAGGCCCAAACAAGACTTTTAGCCTCCCCTGGGCGCGTTGTCTGAATTGCTGGGTGGGCTCGAAATCGACACCCCTCACGCAGATCCGCGGGGTCAGGGTCCAGAAACACAAGGGATTTGCCACATTTCTGAAATTCGGTGCCACCCCTCACGCAGATCCGCGGGGTCAGGGTCCAAAAACTAAAGGGAGCTCGGTGCCACCCCTCACGCAGATCCGCAGGGTCAGGGTCCAAAAACTGAAGGGAGTTGCCACATTTCTGAAATTCGGTCCCACCCCTCACGCAAATCCGCGGGGTCAGGTCCAAAAACACAAGGGATTTGCCACATTTCTGAAATTCAATGCCACCCCTCACGCAGATCCGCGGGGTCAGGGTCCAAAAACACATGGGATTTGCCACATTTCTGAAATTCGGCGCCACCCCTTACGCAGATCCGCGGGGACAGGGTCCAAAAACACAAGGGATTTGCCACATTTCTGAAATTCGAACCCATCACGCACATCCATCGCAAGGCGTGGTAACCCAAACTGCGAGAAATCCCTCGGCCCTTTCATCGCAAGGTGTGGTAACCAAGCCCTTAAACCATACACGTCTTACCAATCGCCAGGTGTGGTAACCCCTCTTGTGATCAGTTGGTTTTGCTGATTGCGACTCGGCTTCGCATGAAGTTTCGATACTGCTTCACGACAGCGCCAAGGCCTCATGACTTAGCTCTTCCATGGCCCATTCTCCGAGAGAGGGGGCCGCCGGCAGGGGGCGAAGCCCTTACGGATTATATAATCTAGTTCTGTCGGAAAACTAGTTCTGTCGGAAAAACATGCAAGCATGCATATGCACAATCATCCATACATACAAAAATACATACATATGGACAAACAAACCAACAAACCAGCGTGCATGTATACATGCATGCATACATACATACGTACATACATCCGTACATTCCTGCATACATACACATATACCTGATCGCAGTATTAGCGTTGGTAAAGATGAGAGGGCCTCATTTTGTCACATGAGGCGCAGTCCGAAACACGAAACCGTTCGCCACGAGCTGAGACGCTGACGACGCGGCCGAACGCAAGGAGCGGAAGACCGGCGAGAATATCGGCAGGCTGACGCGCAGCAAGGGCTGCACACGTCGGCTGAGACCCCTCAGGGGCAACAAAAGATCTCGAAGCAATGGAATGCGAGGGCATGGTGGGCGGGTCCACAAACTTGAACGTCAGCAAGGTCGGCGCACGGACAAGCCTAGAAGAAACGGCAACTTGCGAAGAAGACCCGCGCCGTGGCGCTGCTGCTCAGCAGCGAGCTTCCTGACCTGGCCGAGGACGCGGCCGCCCCCGGCATACTTGCAGGCCGAGGCCCGCGCCTCCCAGCGGCCGCGCTCCTGGACCTGAGCGAGCGCGCGGCGGCCGGTCAGGACGCCCTCGCCGGGCCCGCCGCGGCGCAGCATGCGCGGAGCCAGCTCCACGTGATCGAGCTCGTCTGCAGCGGCGGCGCCCTTGAAGAGCCCCTCGAACTCCGCGAGCGAGAGCGAGGGGAAAAGCTTGGGCGAGGGGGCCGAGGCGGCCTCGGCGAGGAGGGCCTCCACGAGCTCGCGCAGGTAGGCGCGGCCAGCGTCGATGCGCAAGATGGCGGCGTCGTCGAACTTGCCGCTCTAAGCGGGCTCTATGGACTGCTGCTCCTCGCTGCAGTCGCGCGGCAGCGCGGGGGCCGCAGCGGCGGCCACCGGCCCGCGCTTCGAGACGTCGGCGACGTCGCTGAGGTGGATGTTGAACACCTCCGACGGCCTGAAGTAGCCGTCCTGCATCAGCGCGGCGGCCCGCGCGGCCGCGACGCCGTCGTCGCCCTCCTTCACGAGCTGCTCGGCCACGAGCGCGAGGGAGATCCACGGGCGCGGCTCGCGGGCCAGCTCGGGCCCCTCCTTGCACCAGCCCTGCGGCGCGCGCTTGGACCTCGGCGCGCTCGTCTTGCCGGCGGCAAAGCTGGCGTTCTGGCCGCAGGCGACGGCCGCCATCATGACGCGGCCCGCGCTGACCGCCTCGCGGTCGAAGGGCTCGGTCAGGCACGCCACGAGGATTGGGTCGAGCTTGGCCTGGTCGCGCGGCAGCGGGCGACCGTGGAAGTGGACCACCCTTGTGCGTCGCTGCTCGCAGGCCCTGGCCGTCTGGGCGGAGACGCTCTCGGACTTGGCGTGGCTCTGGCGGACGGCGCGGGCGACGGCCCTGGGCGCAGCGGCTGGGGCGGCGCGGCGCTTGCCAGCGCGCGGGGCCATCGCGGCGGCGCGCTTCGGCCGAGCAGGCGTCGCCGCCGCCGCGGGCGGCCCCGCGCGCGCCCGATCCCGGGCGACGCGGCGGGGCCCAGCCGCGGCCTCGACCGCCCCACTCTCGACAGCCGAGCGGCCACTCCCGAGGGCACCAGTCGGCAAGAGCGTCAAGCCAAGGCCCGTCGATGGCAGGGTCGGCACCAGCGGCCCAGAGCAGCGCAAGGAGCCACTGGCCGCGCCCCACAGCACCGCCGCCCCTCGAGCGCCCAGGCGCCCCGCGCGGGGCTGAGGCCGAGGCGAGATCTGCCCTGGCTCGGCAGAGACCCGGAGGGCGGGCGCCTGCCATGGCTGCGCGCCAGACGGCTCGAGCCGGGGCGCCAGCAGGGACAAGCAGCGCGCCGTGCAAGACGAGGCTGCCCGAGGCTGGCGATGCGTGTCTGTCGCAGAAATGTCGCGATACATGCGCGGGGCCCCGTTGGGGCCACCCAGACTTTCTCCTCCAGGATGTCGCGAAAATGGCCTCCCTGACAGGAGCAACGCGGCCGATCGAGGCCTGGCAACGTACCCAAGAGACCAGTGGGCTTCAGGCGATGGGCACCGTACTCGCACGTATCCAGACTGACGAAGACGACACTGGCACGCTGGAAAAGAGGGCGGAGGAGGTCGCTTTCGCAGAGGCGGGAGCGCAGCGGGCTCTCCACTGCCCAGAAAGACGCCGAGCCGCCGGCACAAGTCGACCAGCCTTCGGGCCAGGCGGACGCCCCGAGCGGCGCGCAGAGCATCACGAGGATAGAGAGCACCGCGCTGCGCTACGCTGCGCGTCGCACAGGGCGCGCCGAAGCGCACCAACCAGACGACGACAGCGCGAACGCAGGTCTCCAATACGCGGACCGTCTCCCAGGCGCGCAAGTCGTAGCAAGGGCCCGCCGGTGGCCCATGGGAAGTCAGACGCGGAGCCCCTGGCCCGCCAGGGCCGACGAAGGCCGGCCGGCCCCAGAACGCACCTCTAAGACGCCCCGAGCGGATGCGCCGGCGCAAGTGACGCGCCGGGGACAAGGTCGCTCTGCTTTGCGCCAGCGAGCACCCGAGGCCGGCTCGGAGGGCGGCGGCGCCGGAGAGCGCCGCCGAGGCGGCAGGCAGCGCCGCCTAGAAGTTGAAGCGGACGCTGCAGCCGGGTCGCCTGCCGCGGGCGTCGCCGCGGAGAGACGCCGACGCCGCCGTAGCCGTCGCCACCAACATCGCTGGGCGCGGTCGAGGCGGCGGCGGGTCGGGAGAAAGGCGGCCGCGGAGGGTCGCCTCCGATCCAGCGGCGGGGAACCCAGAAGTCCAGGCGCTGCGCGGGCAGCGTGGACGGGAAGAGCAGCGCGCGCAGCGTCGGGACCTGGCGAGGCGGGCCGCGAGGCCAGTCCAGACCCCCCCCCGACGTGACAGGGGAGAGGGGAGCTGGACGGCACCACTCGGCCGAATCGAGGGCAAGCTGGCAGGCGCGGGTAGCTCCCGGGATAGACTGGCCAGGGAGGACCTCGCCACGATCGGCCGCTCGGGAGTCGTAGTCGGCGCAGTTGCGGACGCCCTCGATGTGGCGCGGGCGCCGCGAGACCTCGGCACCGATCGCGATCGCCGCCGCCTGCCGCACCAGAAACCGGAGCCAGAAGTCGCTGGCCCAGCCCCTCATGAAGGCCAGAAGGGCACTCAGGTCGTCGGCAAGGCACAGCAGCCGCAAGCCGCGCACGGCCGGGCAGCGCGAGGCACGGCGGAGCTGCATCAGCGCCACGCGGGCCTCCTCCAGGTGAATGGCGGAGCCGTGGGCCCAGCCGCCCTTGGCGATGCTCTGCCAACGGGCCAAAGCTGGGGAGAACCAGCCACACTCGCGACGCCCACTTCGGCGCGGGAAGCGGCGGCAGCGATCGGGGGCCGAGAACCCCAGGGCGGCAGACGGAAGCGGTTAACGAGGTGGCCCGCGACGCGCTTCAAGGCCACGCCCGGACAGCCAACCCGACGCACGGGCTGCTCGTGCGCGAAGCACAGCCGCCAGAGGTGCTTGGCCGCGGCCAGGAGCTGCAGCTGGGAGCCCCCGAGGAACTGGAGCCCCACGAACGACGAGCTCGCGCTGGGCGGGCTCGATGTCGTGGACGATGGAGCCGAGCTCCTCGAGGCAGGCCAGGTAGCGGTCAAGGCCAGCCTGAGCATCTAGCTGACGACGGCGCCGTTGTCGACGTAGACCGAGAAGACGGGGCGCCCCCGCCCCGGGAGAGGCGCCAGAGACTTCTCGCGGAGAAGCCCGCCCAGCGGGACAAAGAGGCGGGCGGCGGCCAGGCGCGTAGAACGGCGGGCCCGAGGCAACCAGGGCAGCACCCTCCAGGAGGCACCGGCAGAAGCACAGGGCCCAGCTGAAACCCACGCAGAGGACCTCCATGACGACGCAGAGGATCGCGTTGCCGTCGACGGAGAGATCGCACTCGGCGCCCTCGCCGCAGCGGGAGGCGGCGCCGCAGTCGCGAGTCGGGAAGTCGAACTCGACGCCAAACCAGCGGCCCAGGCGCTTGACCCGACACTGGTAGAAGCCCCGGTACAAGTCCAGGGCGGCCACGTGGACGTCGCCCTCGCGAGGGTCGCAGCCGGCCAGCTCGAAGGCGGCGCCCCTCAGGCCCAGGTCGATCAAGGCACCCGGCCCGCCGAGCTGCGCGCGGGGGGGCCCTGCGCGAGCTGATTGGCCTCGCGGGCGCCCGCGATCGCGCGCGAAGAGCCGCCATTCTTGGGGCGGAAGAACAGAGCGACGCGGGCGCGGATCGAAGCCCATTGCCCGCCCACCCCGCCAATGTCAGCTTGCGATTGCAAAATCCGCGGGGGGGCGCGCGCCTTAGACATGAATTCGCCCGCGCGGGCGCATCGCGGGGCGGCGCCCGCCAGATCGAAAATCAACGGGGCGGCGCCGGGGATCGGCGCCGACGCCCGGCCGCCGACGAGGGGCAATGGGGGGCGCTTGGAGGCAAGGGCGAGCAAGAGCGCCCCTCTTTCTGTCGAACCGACGCGGGCCTGCGGGCAAGGCGGGCTGGACGGATGCCGGGCGCAGCAAAGGGGGGATCTGCCGAGCAGCCCGCGTCGCCGATTTCCCGAGCTCCTCCCGGCGCCGGCAGCGGCCGCGCGTCGAGGACTGGCCCTTCGGCGGGGCGACCGAAACCAGCTGCGCGCAGCAGGCTTTGCAACCCCCCCTTTCCTTCCCCAGCCTTTCATCCGACCCGAGCGAGGCGCGCAGCCCCCCCCCTCTGTCGCCGTCGTCGCCGCCGCCCCCCACCATGCCTGCGCCCGTTTCCAGCGGCCGCTCTCTTCGTCGACGACGACGACGACGACGACGACGAGGACGACGACGACGGGGCGAGGACGAGGACGACGGACGGCGGACGGCAGACGGCGACGGCGGCGACGACGACGACGCACTGCGGACGCCCTATCCGGGGGGGGGGCGCTGCTGCGCAGGCCCGCTGCAGTCGACGACGACAACGACGACGATGACGACGACGACGACGACGACGACGACGCCTGAGAGGGGGCACGACAATTCGCCTCGGACGCGCACGACCCTTGCCACAACTTCTATACGCAAGGCAATCGTTTTGAGGCTGTCCCGCAGGGGGTGCACGATCCCGCGCCAGCGACAACCCCCTGGCGCGCGCGATTTGTGTATATACATATATATATATATATATGTGTGTTTCGCGCCCCTCGGGGTCTATTCATCAGCCCCGGGGGGGGGGCCTTTTGTCACTCACAAGCATTAGCCAGCAGCTCCTTCAGGGGGCGGAAGAGCGCCGGGCGAGAGGAGCGGAGCGCGGGGTCCCAGCAGGGCTTGACCGGCGTGAATAGCCCCCTGGATGCGCGCCGCTCCGAATGGAGGTGCTGCGACCCCCGTCAAGACCGATTCGAGGGGCTTCGGGCACGCGGGGCGCTTGAGGACCATCAACCGGTCGGCGTCGAAGACCTCGAGCCCCTGGGTTCAGCGCCATACATATCGCTGGTCTTCAGAAGCTCAGACAAGGCTTCCTTCGACGAGGAGTAAGGCTGACGATCTCACCGAGATACTCTTCTCCCGAGGCAGCTGATCACCGAGGCCTGCGGATCGCTGGGGGGCCGAGTGGGAGGGTCGACGATTGCCAGAGGCGACAGGGCAGAAGCCGCAGCGAGCGCGTTCAGGGAGACGATCGACTCCGCCACGCCAGCACGCCGTACACGACGACAAGCCGCAGCCTTCCGGGCCGCACGATGCCGGCATCGGTCCAGGGGCTCCAGACCGAGGCAGGGCAAGGGGAAGACGCCACCGTGGGAGGACGCGACGGGCCCAGCCTGCCGAAGGGGTTGCACGACATATGAATTCTGGCCAGAAAGAAAGAAGGGAGGCCGAGCCAGGCCGCGCGGCAAAGTCGTCCAGCTCGTTCTGGGCCCACCCCGATGGCGCATTCATTGGTCCGCGGACTCCGACCCGTTCTTGGGGTCGGCGGCCCGGTTGCGCTCAGCCTCCTTCTCCTCGCGCAGCGGGCGGCCCTGCTTCGCGACCGTCGCCTGGTCCTTCTGGCGTCCGCGGACCACTGGGTGAAGACCGCCGCCGCTGCTACCCCCGACTCGTCGGTGGCAGCACTCATCAGCACGTCGAGGCCCGAGAAGTCGGGCATCCTGGGGTCGCGGCGGACCGCCGCCTCGATCTAGACGAGGCGGCGGGAGCAGAGCTCCGCGCTGGCCAGCATGGAGACGTCGAGCTGGTCGAAGGCCCAGCGAAGCACCTCCGAGAGGAAGAAGTGCTCGCGCGACGCCGCCCCGTTGACATTCACCCCGCTCTAGCGGGCCCACTCGTGGCGATAAGAGACCAGGGTCTGGCCTTGGGCACGGAGGCTCTGGAGGAACGCGACCACCACACGAGGACCAGATAAAGGGAAATGCTCGATCTTCGTGTTCTCGAACCTCGTGAGGGCCAACTCCTCATTGATGTAAGGGGCCCCGCGCCGATCCTTCTCCGAGCCCGTCACACGAGGGTCGCGACAGAAGGCCGTCACCTTGGCAAGCCGCCAGCTGCCCCCCTTCCCGACCTCCACGGCCTCGCAGTGCACCCACTGGCGGTCCACGAGAGCGAGGCTGCACTGGTCGCGGGCAACGAAGCAGGCGGGGTCGGCAACGGTCGACTCGGGCAGCACAGTCGCGAACACCGCGTGGGAAGGGTCGGCGATCCGCCAGCGCACGTCCACCACGCCTGGAGCCGATGAGGTGATCCCCCGCACCGCGGCCAGCATCTTCCCCCGACGCATCAGCTCGGCGAGCTCCGCCGCCGAGAGGGGGTCGAACAGGAAGGCCTCGTCACGGTACGGGGCGGGATC